ACAAAGGCGCGGGCGGGTGAACATGCTCAATATATAAGAATAGTATTTGAACTTATAAGAAATTGGAAACTCTATTGAAAGTTGGAGAAGTGCGAGTTCTTTTTTCCAAAGGTGATCTTTCTTGGGTATATTGTATCCAAAGATGGTATTTTGGTGGATGAATCAAAGGTGGCAGCAATTAAAATGTGGCCGGTGCCTACTGATGTAATAGAGAATTAGAGGTAAGAAGTTTTCATGGTCTTGCCTCTTTCTACAAAAGGCTTGTTAAGAATTTTAGTACCATTGTTCCCCCTCTCACCAAGTGTATCAAGCAAGGTTCTTTAGGATGGACTCAATTTGCCCAAAAATCCTTTGAGAAAATCAAGGAGCGCTTGTGTAAGGCTTCTCTCTTGGCTTTCCATATCTCAACCAATTGTTTGAGGTTGGATGTGATGCAAGTTGAGTTGTAGCTTCTTCATAGGTTATTACTTCTTTGGTAGCTCAACAAATGTACTTTTTACTTGCTTGCATCCACAATATTATGCCTTGAAGAGGACTTGAACCTCTACGCTCTTTAGCATGAGAGGAGAGTTTATAAACAAATATAGATCTTGGGTATCATCGGTGGTTCGAGGTGCAAAATAAATGCCCCATAGCCTTTTTCAGCAAGAAGCTAAATTGATCAAGGAAGAATTATAGTACGCATCCCAAAGAATTCAATGCTATCGTACGTGCTCTAGATCATTGGAGTCATTACTTGAGGCCAATACACTTTGTTCTACATTCTTATCATCAAGCTTTGAGGCATATAAACGGCCAAAACAAATTTAATCCAAGACATGTAAAATGGGTAGAATTTCTCCGGTTGTTTACATTTGCTTCGAAGTATAAGGCCAGTAGTTCTAACCCTGTTGGTGATACCCTCTCAAGGGGATATGTCATGCTTACTATTCTTGGTGGTTGGGTGCTAGCTTTTTCTTTCATCAAAGATCTGTACATCGATCATCCATACTTCTCTAAAGTGATTCAGTCATGCAAAGAACAAGTTTGTGGCCCTTATCCCGTTCAAGATAGATTTATGTTAGAAAACAACAAACTTTGTGTACCTAATGGAACCATAAGTGAGCTACTAGTTAGAGCGAAGTCTATGGAGGAGGATTGGCCGGTCACTGGCATCAACAAGACTCTTGGCGTTCTGTAAGAACATATTTCTATTGGCTGTGCATGGAAAATGACTTTTATACCCTTATTAGAAGATGTGCAACGTGTCATCAAACCAAAAGCAAGTTCCATCAAGGCTTGTAGACTTCATTACCTATGCCTTCTCAACCATGTGAGGACATTTCTATGGATATCATTGTGGAAATTGTTGGGCACAAAGTTGTTTAACACGCCTATCATCTTCAAACAGATGGACGAATAGAGGTAGGGGTGTTATTTGGCTGGTTCAATCGGTTTTCGGTTTATTGGGTTTGGTATCGCTTTCGGGTTATTCAATCTGGTAATATATATTCATACTCAACAGTTTATTTGCATGAAGTAAAAGACGCCATCTACCAAAAACTAATATCTACCGTACGAAAATACATTATTTTTTCATGTAACATATATCGAGCTAAGCACATAATCTAACAAAAAACTTTATCTGCCATCAAACAAAAAACATTATATAGCAATAAAATATGTAAAATAATAATAGTATAATTCGTTTTTGGTTTATTTTTATAAAAGTATTAGTAGGATGTGTTATTTGTTTAACCAAATTACAAATTTAACCTAAAACGAACCGGATAATGTATCCTTATTCGGTTAACCAAACCATTTAACTTGAAAATCGAATAACCCGAAACCATTTAAGCCAAATCTCATTCGGTTTGGGAGGGGAGGGGGTTATTCGGTTGTGGTTACTTTTGACGCCCCTAGATAGAGGTAGCCAATTGAACACATACCACATTGCCCAGAACTATGTTATGTAAGATTTTGAAAAATTGGGATATTAAATTAGTATTTGCCGAGTTTGCATATAACCGTTCACCAACTTATGCTACATATCATCATACACCATTTGAGGTGAATTATGGGGTAAACCCTCTCATGCCTACTGATCTAGTACTCCTCTGGAAAGGTAATGAAGTCCATTTTGAGGTAGCAACTCATGCTAAAGAAATGTAGAATATTCATGAACAAGCCCAGGAGAAGATAGAGCATGCCAATGATTTGTAGAAAGAAGGGCCAAAGAAGGCTATCTTTGAACCTGAAGACCTCATGTCACTACGCTTAAGGAAGGAAAGGTTTCCTCCAAATAGGAAAATCAAGTTAATGCCGAGAGGTGATGGACCTTACAAGATGCTAGAAAGGATTGGAGATAATGCTTACAACTTCTTTATTATTAGTGTAGTGTTGTTGTTGCTTTATCACAAAACAATATCCAGTTTTTGCCTATATGATTGATCTTAATGGTGTTCAATTACTTTACTATGCATCATATTTATATTACAAGATAATGATATTAAGGATCTCCATAGCTAGATTCCCCTAGTTTGATTTTGGTCTATTATCAAGCATGCATTGTAATTGAAATTTGGAGACACCATGGAGACTTTATGGCACATTAGCTAGGTGTAGGCATAAGTGGATGATTATGGCATGTAATTATGTATGAAGATTTCATATATGATGTATGAGGATTCTTCCACTGACTTTCAGTTGACAGTGGCATCATAAGAAGAATTAAACGAAAATGCAAGGAGAATGTATTGTAAATCTATTTCACCTGAATAGTAGTTAAAAGTTAACCTATTGCCTTTTTCTTTCTTTTCTTCTCTTTATTATTTACTAGTGTTGGTGTTGTTCTTTCCCTTTCCTTTTCGCTCGCACGTTTGCACAAGCCGGAGATCTTCACTAAAACAACCGCTCTACCCTTTGGAGTAGAGGTCAGGTCTAGCTACATTCCACCTCTCTCATACCTTGGGTTTTTGTGGTTTGATTTTATACTACCTAAAGTTCGTAGCACGAGTTAATGAAGGGCCTTGGCCAACATCTTATCATGGCATTTAGACTGCTCTCAGACCTATCTTCACATGAAGAAACGGCTATATCTGGTTCTTGTCGCTAGTCTAGCAGTCTCATTATTATGATGCTTTTTTACCAATCGAGATGATGAAGCTCCTAACTTTTGAACTAATTATCGTATCAAAGTCAATTCACATTTGTACTTTCATGGCTTGATATTCCAACTCTACATTAGTGAGAAAAATCGTCATTCTTCTTAGGATACTAAGGTGGTGTTTTGTTTGTTGGAATCCAATGAAACCTGAAGGAATTGGAATGGTCAATCCCGTTCATGAGTTTGGTGCATTCTGAGTTTTAGGATGGAATTTCTTTTCCACATATGGTGGAACTTCAATTCCTTGGATTTTAGTATGATATTTCAATTTCTTCTCATCCGATCTTTTGAAAATGATTATTTTGCCCTTATATTTACTTTAATCCATTACATCCCACCACAACGGTCGTCACCACCACCACCCCCACCCCCACCACCCCCATAGTGGCCGCCATTACTGCCAGCACAGTCACCAATTTTGCCTCCCCTCCAACCACCACCATTACCAACGTTGCCTCCATCCCAACCACCGTCACCGCCGCCACCGTCATCACCACCATCATCACCGTCATTGACACCATCGCCACCAGCAATTAATATTATTATTTTATTATAATTCAGCAAACCATATAGACAAATTTCATTTTCTTTGACAAAATTTCTGCCAACCAAACGCTTGGTCGCACCTGATTAAATTTCATTTCATTTCCGACAGATTCATCTCTGTGAACCAAACATCACCTAAATTTCCATCAAACCAGACACAATGCCCAGCAATAGACTGGTGATGTAGGGACAGCGCGGGCATCCTGAACCATCTCACTTTGTAATACAACTGTTGGCATGAAGCATTGGCCGTGCCTCTGTATTGCATTATCACATATATATATACATACATACATACATGGGGTTTAGATAGTTACAACACTAGTAGGAAACATCTCTATAATATTACAATAGTAGGGAACTAGTTTCAGAATATTACACAATATTCTAACACATCCCAACAGTCTTAGCAAGAGGAGAACGGACGCTGAGAGGGGGTGGATCAGTATAACGAGAGGCATTATTGGATGTTATGAGAGTGGTGTCTGAAGCATTAGTGGGCGACTAGCATACATTCAACTCATGAAAAAGATCTGTCATGCCTAGGGGAAAATTTCCGAATGTATGCCTTTTGTTACAGAAAATAGTCAAACGGGTGCTTCTTTTGTGCTCCAAAAATGACACTCACATTCAGTGCATGTGAAACCACTTTTGAACAATTTTTAAGTTTCACATTTAGCATCTGCAATTGTTTTTAGGAATAGTTCAAAATCATCCACCATAGCATGTAACCATACCGACGTAATCCCCTTATAGATATAAGATCATATTCACTAAATGTGGAAGTCTCATTTTTTGAACATATAAGTGACCATTCACGATTTTTGTATTAGAGAACATATGACCTTCATTTCTTATTGAATGTTGGTTACAGTAAAATAGTTCTTAAGTCACTAATTTCAATGTTCAAACATTAAGCATGTTTTGTAATTTTGTCATGTGAATTAAAGAATAGCTCTTGGAATTCCATGTTAGTACTCAGGTGTAATTTTTTTTATGTATTAAGCTGATTACTTATTACTTTCTTCGTATTCTATGTGGGCTATTTATCCTCATGTTAGCCGAGTATTACTGTTCTGTGTGTTTGGTCATCTGAAAGTTTACACGCTTATGTTGATGATAATATGAACTCTATTTTCTCAATGTATTTTTATTTGAACCTTGAAGGTAATATATTTCTTCATCAATGAAACTCTTGAAAACATTCAGTAGTTGATTAAAGATGCTTTGTTATTCAAGCTGTTTTATGGCACAGAGATCTATTAGAGTCCAGGGTTATTTTGCTGATACAGTGTGTACAATCAATCAGTTTCAGATGATGACTTAATAGACTATTCTGTCAAGCCTGAGTTCTATGATCCAAATCTCGACGATAAAGACCAATTGTGGATTCAAAAGAAAAGGAAAGGTCAATATTCTGATGCTGTGCTCAGCTGTCCTGCATGTTTTACAACCCTATGCCTGGAGTGTCAAAGGTAATTTTTGATCAATTGAGTTCATGAGTAAATTATCCATTGGTAAAAATAGCATCATAAAATCATGAAAGAAACAGTGAAATTTAGCCTGTTAGGTGCTGCTCAGAAGGGGGGCAGTTATCTGTACTAATCTGGTTCCATCCTTAGAAGCAATCGTTAGGAGTCAACACTCTCAACTTTATCGGGTAAGGGGCCGTTTACCAAACGCTTACCCGGGTAACGCTTACCAAGTCACGTAACCTTATTGGATGAATATGGTAAGGATCAAGAATCTTACCTGGTAAGAGCGTAGGCAAGGACAAGAGTCTTACTCGGTAAGTGAGGGCGACGACTCTTACCACAGATAGCACTTACCGGGTACATTGTTCCATACGATACCGTTATGGTGGACGAAAATATTACCGGGTAAGTAAGTGATTGTGTTGAATCTTGTTGGTAAGCACTTACAAAGTAAGCGTTGAGTAAAAGGCCCCTAAGATTGTAGTTCATCAAAATGGTATCGTATGCAACAATTTACCCAATAAGCGTTTACCAGATAAGAGTCGTCACTCTCACTTACCAGGTAAGACTTTCCATCCTTATCATCGCTCGCTCTTACCGGGTAAGATTCTCTTACCGGGTAAGATTCTCTTACCCTTATCATGTTCATCCGATAAGGTAAATGACCCCGTAAGCTCTGACCGGGTAAGACTTTCCAACCCCAACCTCGTTTTATGTTCTCCGTTCCCCACCCAATCAATTCCTGATCGGTTTGGGGGGGAAAATCCCCGACGGGTATGGTACCTGTTGGGTACCCTGCTTAGGAAAAGATAATTGTATTTTAAAATGAAAAGAAAAAAAATGAGTTTTTAATTTTAAAAACAAATAGATAAACCTCATGTTTCAATAAACACATAATAACATAACTAAGCACTAATCATAGTTCATGACAAATTTAAAAGCATAAAATTATTAAGAAACAAATCAAGTTTATCTATTTATCTATATCTATATCTCTCTCTCTCTATATATATATATATATAGGGTTGGGTTCACGTGAGACCAGACTGTTTTCGTGAGACCCGTGAAACCACATTTTTACACTTGAAACTTCACAGCAAAAACATTGTGAAGGTTTAAAAAAGTCGAACCTTCACAGCAAAAA